AGCTGTAGCTGTGGGCTTCTCTCCTCCTGCCCTCTGCTGCCTGTGAAGAAGGCAGGTTGTGGTTTCCTCTGTTACCCTGTCTTCCCATTCCCTGAGGCCAAGGGCAGCCTCTTGACACCAGACTGCACATCCTGTGCCCAATGCTCTGATTAGACTGTTGGATTCTTCCTTCAGGAATCCCAGCTCTGCAGGCTTTCCCACAGCCCTGACCTGCAAGGTGCCTTCTCGAGGTGTTTTGGACTGGCTTTGATCTTGCCTGCTCTAGGGGCCTCTGACTGTGTTTGGCAGCCTTCCCTCCTAAGCTGTGGTTTGGGTTACAAATGTGTCTGGTTCTGCTGAAGAGTGAGTGCCTTTGCATTTCTGTTTCTCTTTCTCCTTGATTTTGGTTGATTTCAGATAAGAACACGAGTAGTTTTATTCTGCTACCTTTAAGCTATCGAGTGTTGGGGATCTTTTGCGATCGAGTATTCTCTCAGATCAGAACTTTTCCAAAGAGAGTTACCAGCTGATACCAGCTAAAGCGGAGACCTGATAACGAAAGGGAAGAACAGGGGAGTTGAGGCGAAAACTGGAGGGTTAAAAAAGAAATTCAAAACATGTGTGTCCATGCTGAGTGACAGCAGGGGTCCTTCCTTCCCTTCTTCACTTTTTGGTTGGGGTGTGCTTCTGTCAGGGTGGGGTATTAGACTTTCCTGTCAGTGTCAGAACACCTGAGAAAACAGCCTAAGGAGAGAAGGATTTGTTTTGGCTCACAGTCTCAGAGTTTCGGTTCACTGTGGCAGAGGGGATGTGCGGGAGGAGGGTGGATCCGATGGCGGAGGCCAGAAGCATGCAGGGATGCCTGCAGTAGTACCGGAGATGCACCTGGCTATCCTCCCAGGCAGTTGTCAAGCCAGAGAAGTCCACAAGACTATCATGGGGCCAGGGAGATGGCCCGGGTGGTAAAGTGTTTATTATACAAACACAAGGACCTGAGCTCATCCCCAGAAACTATGTAAGACAGCCAGGCAAGGTGGTTTGTACTTGTAATTCCAGCCCTGGGGAAGTGGAAAGAGTAATGGATAGCTGGGATTTGCTGGTCAACCAGCTTGGTCTATTCAGTGAATTCCAGGCAAACAAAAGACCCGTATTTAAAAAATAAGGCAGATGGCACATGAAGAATACATTCCCAGTTGATCTCTAGGTTACTTACACACTTATGTGCATATGCACCTGTATACATGTATACACCTTCATACACACACACACACACACACACACACACACACACACACACGCAGGTATGCACACATACACCCAAGAAAAAGAATTAACTATCACAAGTTCGTCTCTTATCAATTAATATGCAAGCTACAACATTTCACCACTGGCTCCCAAAAGGCTCAATTCTATCTCATAATATTTTCAAAATGCATTTAGTCACTCTCGTGTGTCCCCAAAATCTCAACAATTGCAACATTATTCAAATCCAAATTATCCTCTGAATCTCCTTGCACACATTCAGCTGTGGGCCTCTGCAAAATAAAAAACAAGTCACATGCTTCCAAGATATGGTGACCAAACATCCCCATTTCAATAGACAGTTTCCGGGAATGGAAAGGATGGAAACAAAACAAGACTGAAACCTCTTAGGGAAAACCTGGGGCACGAGGCATCACGATGTCAGCTCTGGGAGGTCCCAGCACCCTTGGTCCTCTGACCTTATCATTTGCAGCTCATCTGGCTTCTCTGTGGGCTGTCTCTGCCTGCTGCCTTCTTCAGCAGACATCCCATCTTCCAGCCATCTTTGGCTTCACCTTCAAAGTTTCATGCATCACCCTCTTGGGGGAATCACTTGGCTTTTCCTGGGAATCCCTTGCCTGCAGAAATTCTACATCTGAGCCAGGCGTTGGTGGGGCACGCCTTTAATCCCAGCACTCGGGAGGCAGAGGCAGGCGGATCTCTGTGAGTTTGAGACCAGCCTGGTCTACAAGAGCTAGTCCAGGACAGCCGCCAAAGCCACAGAGAAACCCTGTCTTGAAAAATCAAAAAAAAAAAAAAAAAGAAAGAAAGAAATTCTACATCTGTCACAGGTTTTCTAGCTACCTAGGTCTTCCTTTGTAATTTAGGTTTAAACCTCCATGATCCAATAGTTCTTGCATTCTGAGTGCCTACAAAACCAGCATGGCGGATAATGCTAGATTTGCCACCTCCTCAAGCAATATCCAGAGCATCTTGATGATGGCTGAGTGGCCTCTGAATGTTTTGATGATTGAAAGCAGGGAATATTTCCTAGAAACCTGGTGCAGGCAGGTATCCTGAGTTCTCTTCCTGGGGCAGAGTCTTTGAAGCAAGTGAAAGTCTTCACACTCTTGAGCCAATTCCCCAGATGCTCTCAAGGTATCTTTCTAGTTGTCCTGATGTCCTTCTAAAACGGCTCTAATCCAGTGTTTCCCAACTTGTGGGTTAAGACCCCTTGGGGGATGAATGGCCTTTTCACAGGGACCACGTATCAGATATTTATTTTTACCATTCATAACAGTAGCAAAATTAAGAGTTATGAAGTAGCAATGAAAATAATTTTATGGTTGCGGGGATCACCATAACATGTTGAGCTGTTTTAGAGGGTCGCAGCATTAGGAAGGTTGAGAATCACTGCTCTTCTTTCTTTAGAGGCCACACTGTTGTGGCTTCTGTATTTGTTACTTTTCTCATTGCTGTGGCAATCCTGACAAAAGCAACTTAAGGAAAGGGTTAGTTGCAGCTTGTTATAGGTGGTGGTGGTGGTGGTGGTGGTGGTGGTGGTGGTGGTGGTGGTGGAGAAAGCTGGACTGAGGGACAGATTTGCACCCATGACTGAGAGATGAATGCTGGCTCAGCTCACCTTCTCTGTTTTATTCAGGCCAGGGCCCCAGCTCATGGAACGGTGCTGCCCACATTTTAGTGTGAGTCTTCCTACCCTCACAGAGCCAGCCCAGAAACTCCCCCACAGCACAACCAGAGGTTGGTCTCCTAGGCGATCCTGGGTCTTGCCAAGTTCACAGTCAGTAGTAACGGCCCCAGTCCATTTTTAAGTGTCTGAATCTTCCCACTGTGTATTTTGCTCCCAGACCTCACTGTGAATCTGGCCAAAGAGCCAAACTTAGCCATAGCCTGAACACTAGGCTGCCCTCAGACTCCCTCCCCCAAATTAATTCATTCTTCACCTTTAAATTCGGCCTCTGTGAAGTCTCAGGACACAGACAAAATATGCATAGCTTCTTTGCCAGAGAGTAACTCAAGTGGCCCGGGGTTCAGTTCCCATGAGACATTGTTTCTGCTGGAACTGGATAAGATGTCTTACTGCTTTTGGCATTCCCTTCGGCATCCTGGTCTCCTTAGGTCTCAGAATCACCAGGGAAGCTGTGCTAACAGCGTTGTAGGATTTCTACGGCTGCCTTCTCCAAACTTTCTGAATTCTTCTAACAAATTACTTCCAGGAGCTTCTATACCTCGTGGTCAGGTATAGTCACCACACCAGCTGTGTATCTCAGTGTCAGCTTTCTGTGTCTGGCAGCCTTTTGTGCTATGACAAAATGCCTGACAGAATGCCCTAGAGAAGAAAGGATTTCCTTTCCTTGAAATTGCAGAGGTTTCTGATTATCATAGCAAAGAGGGCATGGCCCAGCACAGCAACCTACATCATGGCGATGGTAGTCAGGAAGGTAGGGGAGAGAAAATGCCTACAGTAGGGAGCTTTCTCTTCTCCCCCTTTTATTCTATCTGAATCGACAGCCTAAGGGTGGGCATTCCACTCTTGTTTAACTCTTTCTGGAAATGTCCTGATAGATACACCTAGAGGTGAGCTTTACTAATCTCATAGGTGCTTCTTAAATTGACAGTGAAGATGAACCATCACCAATAGGAAATCATGGGTAGGCAAGACAAAGCATGGCAGCATCCTATCTTCTCATTTGTCTTGGGAAAGTTGTCTTGAGCCACGCTGCTCCCAAGCTAGGGAAGAAGAAGGCACATACCGGTCCTCTGCCTGCCATGGGAGTCAGGTAGGGCAAAGCTCTACCTTCCTCTTCCCATAATTAGGGCCATCCAGGCACCCCAAGATTCCTGGAGCCTCAATGACCTTTCTGTGGTCACTTCTCCTGGAAAAATGTATTAAGGAATGTTAACTAGGATAAATGTTATCAATGATATTTCTATACCCAGGGAAAACACTGGTGTATCCAAGAGAAATAATTCCCTGTGGGATCTCTGAAGAACAAAGCCAAAAGGACACCTGCTTCCAGGATTCCAGATCTGAGCTTTTATCATATTATCTTTCAAGTTTCAGACCACATGAAGGGAGGTGTTTTATCCCATCTTACAGAGGAGGAAAGTAAAGTCAAGGAGAAGCTTTAAATAGAGAAGGATTTGTACCAGTGCTCTTTGGCCGCACAGTTTGGATTTACCAGCTCTTTTCCTCTTTCGTTGCCATTTATTTTCCCGTGGCGACAACACACCATCCTCAAATAGTTTCTGGAATCCTTGTCCCTGGGTGACCCTGCTGGATACTTGCTCTGTGTCTTACAAACCTGGTTTGGGGAGGTTTTAAGATATTTTTTTAAGCTCCAGACAACTGGAGCCTAAACTCATGAGTCACATGCTAAATGTGTATAACCCTGTGTCTCAGCACTCCATTTTCTGGGGGTTCAGTTCTTCTTGAGACAGTGATTTCCAGTGGTGGTTGTTCTGGTGCCAGAGAACAGAACCTGAGAGCAAAGGACCTTGGTTTGACTGGTGGCTCAGTCACTTATTACCTGTGAGACTGGCTAGTCACTGACCTCTGTAAGATTTAGATGAATGGGGAAACCTTAATCATTGAGGACAGTGTCTGCCATATCTCATATACTTAGAAAGTACTAGATATGAAGTATCATTAATTATTATGCACATTAGTTATGTAGTAGGGCCAGGGCATAAGTGAAGGGATGAGTAGCTGGCTGTCCATGCTTCTATCATAACCTGTGCCCTTTGCTTCCTTCCAGGAGCTTGGGCCCCTGCCACAGCCCAGCAGAGGCTGTGTAGATCAACCATCAGGAAGCCTGGTTCCCAGCCCCGGGGTCCATCCCTGGCTGCGGGGAGTGGAGGCTCCTGCGAGGTAGCAGTGGCCCGCAGCGGTCCCCTCCCCATAGTGAGCCATGGGTCAGAAGCTCTCTGGGAGCCTCAAGTCCGTGGAGGTACGAGAGCCATCACTACGGCCAGCCAAGCGGGAGCTTCGAGGCTCAGAGCCCGGGCGGCCAGCACGGCTAGACCAGCTGCTGGACATGCCTGCGGCAGGGCTGGCTGTGCAGCTGAGACACGCGTGGAACCCCGAGGACCGCTCGCTCAATGTCTTCGTCAAGGATGACGACCGCCTCACCTTCCACCGCCACCCGGTGGCCCAGAGCACGGATGGCATCCGCGGCAAAGTGGGCCATGCCCGGGGCCTGCACGCATGGCAGATCCACTGGCCAGCTAGGCAGCGGGGCACCCATGCTGTGGTGGGCGTGGGC